TAGTTGTTCAATAATGAAATTCATCCTCAAAAATACAACTTGTCTAATAATTGTGCACGCAGCATACTGGACAAAAGTTGTCCAGTATGGTGGGATCTAGCAATGGCTTGAGGAGGGATCACACCAGAGCCTCTTTAAGAGGCAAAGGAACAACCCCTCTCCCTCCAAGAATTACTTGTCCAAATGGTACTGTTTTTACCTAGTGCAAAAACAGGTTTCAGCACTGCTGATATAAACCTTGTTTCTCTTTGTGGTTTTTGCCTGTCAAAGAACCAGCATCTTTTCCACCACACAGTTCTAGGTAATTATTGCATTTTTTGCAGGAGAACAGCCTTTATGCATTCTCAGCCATCCTAGATAGAACTTGAAATCTAATTAGGATTGCTCTCAAACCTAATCCAATCTAGTCTACTTTAAACTTACACTGAACATAGACTGTTCTTTAACATCAAAACGTTTTTCCTTGATCTTTTTTAAAATCCAAAATCCATTTTTGCTGAATAATTTTTTTAAAGAATAAAAACAATACAAATTTAAAGAAAAAGGAAAGTAAAGAAAAGTGATAAGTAAATAAGAAATAATATGGACAGAAAGAAGAAAAAAGAAAAAAAAGATATACAGGAGCGGCTTCCAATTTTCTTTACAGCAGTTATAAATGCATTTATGTTTTATCCTCTCAGGATCACAGCTCCCTCCTTTCCATATTCTATCCTTTCTAATAATCAACCCCATAAATCATAAGTTCAGGATTTTCCGTTTTCAGTAAAAGTCCATAAAGGGTTAAAATCCAAAATCCTGAAGGGAGCTCACAATTTTGCTCAAAATCTGGGCAAAATTGCGGGTTCTGAATTTTGTGAAAAGCATTACCTGGTTATAGAGAGAAACATGCTGATTTACAAGAAGTACAAATCACCTCACTATAAAAATGCAAAGTGCAAACTTCAGTAAACCAGTTAAGCAAACCAGAGTGTATCTCTGGGGAACATCTCTTTCGAGTGAATATTCTGCGGAATGGGATGAAATGTCTTCAACCTAGATGTTTTTTACTTCACAAGTCACTGATAACAGTAAGTTTTTCAGTACAGATATACTTTTTAAATATCTTTAAAAAATGGCTGGAGGAAGAGTTAGTTTTAGAACGGAAACCGGATCAGAAAACAGTAGGATTGGGTGCCAATGTGCACCCCACTGCCGCCATCAGCCAATGAGCACCAAAACCCGCAAAACCTGTTAGAACAGAAATAATCAGAAACGGGGCTAAGCGAATATCGAAACAGACACAGCTCAATCTTAAAACTTTTATTTAATCTCGTCCATCTTGTGGTCTGCGCATTGATACAATGTCATCGGAAGCTGAACTGTTACCTACATAGAAGCAAGAAAAGTTACGAGAATGCAAAAATTGGGGTCCTGCCGGCCTGCTTACTTCCCAACTCTTCCTTCCTAACGCGACCTTAAAAAAAAAAAAAAAAGCCAAAAGAGCAAAGTTAACGCCCAAAGTGCAAGGTTCGCAATCTAGGAGAGAGAAGCCTCTCGCCGGCCTTTTCCACCGCAGCGCTTCTCCACCGTGGTGATCTTCAAATGGGGGGGGGGGGAGAACTCCAACTCCTCCAGGCGACCAAAACTTTTGGGGGACCTCCCCGCGAAGAGGCTTCTCCCTTCCCTTCGGCCACCCCGCGGCACGAGTCGGACGCCGCTTTAGCAGAGCGCAAAGGCGGAGGAATCAATGAAACTCGCATCGCGCGCCTTTGGAATTCCCCCCCTTCTCGCTTTCCCCCCCTTCTCGCTTTCCGACGGCCGAACTCAAGCGGCCCCGAGACTGACAAGCGGCCTTTCCCGCCTTATTCTGCTCCTTGGCTTACCTCGGCCAGCAACGTCAAGACCGCTAACCACTTCACCGCCATCTCAGGGTATGCAGCGATCCCACCTATCTTTAACGCGGCGAAGTCTTGTGACGGGGAGACGTAACTTCCACCCCTCCGTCCTCGATCAGCGTGGCCGGAGATTCCCGCTCCTGAAGTTTCGGAAAGGCCTAAAGTGGACCTTTTCGCCAATAGCAGGCGTGCACCCGCCCAAATTCGCAGCTCCCGCGAGCCCAAAGAGCGCCAGCTCCTTCTCGGTGTTCCCCGCGGAGCTAGGACTTTTTCTTCCGCTCAGTGAAGGAATGCGAAGGACCCGGCTTTCCTCCAGGGCCCGCTAGAGAAGCCCCGCCCACTTTCTTTAGGCATGAAATTGATTTCTGACTGCCCTCTTCCGGGATTTTTTCTTCGACGTTCCAGTTTAGTTTACGGCCTCAGTATTTTGTGATGGTCTCTCACCCAGGTACCAACTGGGTCTAAATCTGCTAGTTTTTGACTTCAGATAGGATTGGTCGCTAAAAGTCAATCCAGTGGCACATCATCATCATCAGGGTCATCCAGGTGCTGCTGCTCCCTGGTGAGACTCTTCCTATTTAGCCGCCCCCCCCCCCCACTTTCTGTTCAAACAGCTTTCTAATCCAATTTGGCTTCTCACTTTACCTTTAGGTGCAGACTTTGTGTGTGTGTGTTCCTTCGAGTCAATGTTGACTCCTGGTGACTGCCTGGACATGTCCCTGCAGTTTTCTTGGCTAGATTTCGGAAGTGGTTTGCCATTGCCTGCTTCCTAGAGCTGAGAGAAGGTGACTGGCCCAAGGTCACACAGCTGGCTTTGTGCCTAAGGTGGAACTAGAACTCAGGGTCTCTGGATTTCTAGCCTGTTTCCTTAACCACTACTGTACACCAAACTGGCTCTCTTAGGCACAGTCTAAGGGCAGAAAAAAAAACCAAAAACAGAGGTCCATTTGGACTAAGGTGGTGGAGAGTAAGCTTCAAAGAACACCAGCTCCCTGCAGACCCACCAGCACCTCTCAGGAATTGTGAATCACATCACCTCTGTAAAACTGCTGGTGCAGGAAGTTGAAGTGTTTGGTTATGTTTGCAGGACAAAATTCTCCACAGCTTCCTCACTTTCTGAATATCCACAGCACAACCATAAACTAATCACAGTGGCTAAGTTTGGGCAACTTACTAACCATAGATTGTCCTAACCCTGGTTTACTGAACTAAAGTAACATGGAAACAAACTAACCATTCACATTTTAGTCTGGCATGTTGAACAAACTCAGCTGTTCTGTTGGTATATGATAAGCCACAAACCAAGGTTAATTACTATGTTTGTGCAACATGGCAAACAAACAGATCATAATATAGCTTAATATAATTGTTCATACTGTTCTGGGGGCTCTCAGGTTCGGCTTATGGTCACTCACAGGCTGACAACTGTTGAGGCATGCAGATCTTGTAAGCCCCCCTTGTTTTCGACCTCGGTTTTCCAGAGAGCAGACAAGACACAGCCCTGGGCAACAGAAGGGAAGTAATCAGGGACATGCACACATCACTTTCAACCCTGAGGCACAACAGGTTCTTTGGAGACCCAGTAAATTTAAAGTAACAGCAAAACTTCACTGGTTACAATGTACATCTGCTCTTTCACACATGTGCGCACACACTCATCCACACTTACCCATGTCCTCAGCTAGGCTGCCAGGCACTAGCTAGAGGTAGGAAGCTGCCATGCCTGGATCCAAAGACAAAGGAGACTCACAGAGTGGGCGGGCTTCAGGATCCCTTTTATCCCCCAAAGTCCTTGCATTGTTGATTAACAAGACTGGCAGCTACTCTTGCCTTGTTAACTTATAAGTCTGGTAGCTGTTGATGGGACTGGGGAGAAGTTTCTGTGTGCTGAGGCCCAACTTCCTTTGTCTGGTTCAGGTGACATTTTTTCCTTTGTTTCCTTAACTACTTGTTTCCTTCTTATCTACCTCCTCAAAAGGATCTTTTAGATAAGATCCCTGGCTTTTGCCCTCTCTGCTTACTGCCTGCTTCATCTTTTACTTATGGCAGCTTCAGCCTAGTCTCACATATTAATAGAGGACTTCATGAGTCCCCCCCCCTCAGATTTGGCTTAAACACTGGTCCATTAGCTATGGTTTATGATTTAGCGACTTATACAAAAACTGAGCTTGCACAATGCACTGAACCATAAATTAGTGGTCTATCACACTTTGTGTAGCAGGTTGTATAAACCCAGACAGAGTGGATTGACTGTTTATGGCTGACTTACGAACCATGGTTAATATCATAAACCATGGTGAATTTGAAAATCATGTCATGCAACCATAGCCAAGTGATAGCCTCACTCTTCTCCACCTGATTGTAAACAGAAGAGAGTTACTTGAGGAACCCATTGTCCTTCATGGTCTGCCATCTAGGGGTCCTGGTCTTTATAGATGGTGTTGAACAGCCACAACCACCTTTCTCAGCTACCAGTGTGCTGAAAGGAAAGTTCCCAGGATTTCTACTGAGTGTGGCCGGTAGGAACACTGGCTAAAACATTGAGTATTGGGGAAAAAATTATCAACACTATTGTCGCCTGCACTACATAATGCACTAATTTTAAGCATTCAGGAGCAGCTACCTTTGTTTTAAATCTATAACTGGAGGTCCCACCTGAACAGTTGGAGCTTAATTTAGACAGGATGGAGGTGATGCCTTGTGGGGAATCCTAAGGCTTCAGATGCCATTGTTAGTATGGATTGCCCTCTCTGAACATTGTGGCAATGTAAGTGCAGCATCTGTAGCCACTTAAGCGCGGTTATCCGATTAATTTACTTTTCTGGATTCATACAATGCACACTTACCCACGTCCTTCCCAACTGGGCTGCCAGGCACTAGCTAGAGGGACGGAAGCCGCCCAGTCTGGATCCAAAGATGACTCAGATGACTCAGCTCAGAGAGTCAACAGACACATAAACAGCATCTACACACTATTCAAAAGAGACAATAGAATACAAAAGACCAGAACATCTCCTCACCAGCAATCATCACCTAGATAGGCAGAGGTTACCACCAGGCACACAATCAAGCAGTGAACAGTACCTTAGTCAAGGAATTACCAGAGGGAAAAAACAAAACGAAACCCCCACCCCTGCCAACACTGGCAGGGCATGCCACAGTATATAAACAGAGAGCAAACCCCATCCCATTCTAGCACTGAAGATGTTACCTAGCCGGGTAACGAAACATTTGCAAGAAA